GAAGTGGAAAAATAGTAACAAATAAAACAATTGTTGTGATATGAAAATAATGATCAATTACTTAAAGAGTGTGATAAGAATAGGAAGTAGAAATGGTAGAATGTAGAACAATCAGTTAACCGCAATTTAAGAAAACCCGCAATGAGCTAATAGGTCACAACAGTTTTATGTTGCTAATAAAATATTGCAAAACTAATAACTACGTCTTCAAAAATCCAAATACATTAACATATACCATTTTAAATCGACACGAAATCCTGAAATACACACTAACCGTTTAAACTTACTTTAAGATGACTTCAATTTCAGTCAGTTGATGATACATATATACTTGATTATATTTATTCAAGGTCTATTAATAAGGATACCCAGATAGTGAAAGCCAGCTGTTTGTTCTCACGTCTAATGTCAAAAATTTCGACTTTGTTTACGTTCTCATAAGGGAAATCAATTCAAAACAATGGATTTTAACAGAAATTTGAGAAGCAGATGGATGACATTATTAGGCCTTCATTTTTATTTAAACAACCATTGTATTTTTCGTATAAAACCAGTGTTGTATTTTATTAGTACAAAAGTATGGTAATCACATACTTTTGTGTGGTAAAGATAATTGGTATGCTTCCGTTCTGCAAGAATCTACAAACTTTTACTATTTTCTTCCATATCGTAAAAGAAAAAATGAGATCGCATTAAAAAATAGTAGATTCTAGTAGTACGGGAACAGACGAAATATTATCATGATTGATGGCGCGTTTAGGATTAAATTGACTCGATTTCTAAATCGACGTACCTAATAGTAGTTATTTAGACTAGAGGTGGATTTGAGTACGCCTTCTAAATTGACTGGGTGTCTAAATCGAGATTAATAATCCTTGCTCTATAAAAATGATGGTGATTATAAACTTTGAGTTAATTAATACTGGATATAATATGACAATCATGTTACAAGTTTTTATTTGGTCAAAATAAAAGTAATAATTAAATGTTTTCTCTACTTTTAAATTTTACTTTTTGCCCTTTTTATAATTATTTGAATATTTTTCTATAAAAAGGTTGTAACATTTTTAAACAATATTTTCATTTCATTTTAACTTACCAACTCTAAAACTATCAATATCATCATTGTTGACTTCATTGTATGCCCTCAACAGAGCACTAGTTGTAATCGATGGATCTAATGTTGTGGGTAATTTGGTTTGGCGGCCACGTCTTGTATTTCCGTTCCAATTGGCAAATGTCCGCGCCACTGCCGCACTAAAATAAATAATGACAATAAAATGAAAAACATAAATAAAAGGTGAAAATTTCGTAGTATATAAAACGAGGAAATTATTACATATGCGGATATCGTTGATTTAAATAATGTCAATTATTACGAACTTATGTAATGCATTTACATTCACGTCCATATGGTGATTGAATTGACATGATTAATTTGAGGTATAGTTTATTAAGATATACGCCAAATAGATCACGATAAAGATATATCACTATATGGAAACAAACTTTTTCTGAAAATTAATGGTATTACTAATTCGATTTTGGCATTCCACCAATTTGTTGGGTTTTAGGTAAAATATTAAAATAAATGAAAAAAGTATTACGTGTGATTCGTTCAGACTAAGCTTTCTAAAAGTACTCTTTTCCCGGTAAAACTCCTCGACGTGGATTTATTTGACATATATGCAATGAAATTGACAATTTTGATTTATTGGATTTAATAAATCCAGTACAATGTAAACGCACTATAGATTTACAGTTATTATTTATTTAAAAGCTATAGTCTAAACGCACCATAAGTACATCTGATACAAAAAATTTCCACATACAGAGTGTGTCTTATAGAGTTTGAATCGAACGCATTTTAACGTTTAGATTATACTTTCTAAATCGAATCGATTTGTAAACCAAGGAAATTAAAAAACAAAATAAAGTTGTCAGTCAGCTGATATTTGTTTACGTAAACCATGACACATGGCACAATGAATAGGTAGTCCATTTAGAACAGCTGATGTCTTGATTAACTGTCAAAGTGGTCAATTTTACTTGAATTCGATGTGCAATGCTGCCAAATTTTTTAAATATTATAAGGAAAAATTTGACAGATAATCGAGACAAAAAAATGTTTTTGTTTTGATACATCACCTTATTATTGCATCATGCCATGACACAATAAATAGGTAGTCCATTTAGCGCAGCTGATGTCTCGATTAACTATCAAAATACGAAATTTCTACTTGAAATATTATAAGGAAAAATTTGACAGATGGTCGAGACAAAAACAAAGGTTTTTGTTGTGATACATCTCCTTATTATTGCATCATGACGTAAACAAACGACATAGAGAAACACCAAAAACGATTAGTTTTTTAAAAAAAAACCTAGTTAGCAACATAGAAAAAGTAAAATGGAGATTCGCAAGGAGAATTACATGCATTTTTGAACAAACGCATTTTCTTCGTTCGATCTTACAGAAGTAACTATTTTAAGAAGTTCTTGAGTTTTTAAAAGCTTTCTATAACGTTCACGTTCTGGGCGGCCACCAATATTCACAAGTCGTGAAACGCACAAAGCTTTACAAAGTGTGCAATAAAATCCAACTCCAATAGAACACATGTTAAATTTTGTTTCGATCTGACAACTCCTTCAAATAGAAACAGGTGTTCACAAAATACCCATCCGCAATTTTTTTATTTATTTACTGTAAAAAATTGCGGATGCGTCTTTTTTGAACACCTGTTTCTATATGAAGGAGTTGCCAGATCAAAACCAAATTTAATATGTGTTCTAACAGAGAAGGATGTTTCTAAAACACTTAACTTTTTTCTGTTTATACCCCTCTTTTTGTGCTAAGCTAAGATCTTTCCGAACTGCCCTCGTAGCTTTCATTGATTAATTTTCAACCCCATTCCTAATATAATATTTGTGGCCCTCTTTACTCTTTATCATAAATTTTTTAAATTGTAAATTTTCACCCACCTTGGATATGGAGCATTATTGGGACCTATGCAATCCATTGAATCTGTTAATGCATCTCCGGATAAATATTTCAGACCTTTAGCACCGTTACATCTTGGCAGTGACTGTTGGGGGGCAGCTTCTTTGTTAAGATTTGACCAAAGAGAGGCGTACGTTGTGTGTGCATTTAAGACAACTATACAGAATAACGCGAAAATCTGCAATGAAAAAGAGGAAGAAACAATTAATAAATGTGGACAAATAAAAACATAGGAAAATATATAAAAAAGTTTCTTTCTTGTTCTGATAACGGTTATTTTAGTACAAAATAACAGCTACCTTGACAATGACTGTGCGGTTATGGTCGAATGGTGGTTGGCTGGATGGTTGATTGCTTGATTAGTTGAATTGCATGACTTTGTGTAAACAATTTTCATGTTTTCAACATGAAATAGTACAACAACAGACAGACATGAAATGAAAATTAGCAGTCTGTTGGTTAAGTATTTTTTTTGTAATGTAACATGCAAAGATAATTAAGTTGTTGTTGATTTTTTTCAGTTACGTTCTTCTGTTGTAAACAAAAGGGGACATTAAAGTGTTTACCTATCTGCTGGGTTCTTAAAATGTTAATGACTCGTTGAAACTTTAATAAAAAAACATAACAATGTAACGTGTAAATATTTAGCAAAATGCGGAAAATGGATCTGGTTGAGATACAAATTTTGAAAAAATATATTTAGTCGAAATTGCTTATAGTGACGGCCAAAGGGACCGGCGAAATTTGTCGCTACAAGCCATAGTCATAATAAACGATAAAGCCCAGAACGTTTTGTGAGACTTTTGCATACCGTTACTATAACCGATACGTCATTCAAAACGATATCGTCTGTATGTGTAATTTGGTAGTGCGAAACAAGGCAATATCATTTATATTCTGAACCAAAGAGATTTTTTATGCAGATGATGGGAATGAAATCAAATCTGTTGTGCGAAAAACCGAGTTCCCCTATAATTTTCTAAACCTATGTGAAGAAAATATCTTTATTCTTGAAGAAAAAAGAGGGTCCATTTGATGAACCATTTTTCATTATAAAAATTGTGAGTAGTCATGGGCGAAAAAAAAACATTAATAGAATGATTGCAATCTGTACCCAATGTGCACAAGAAATAATGAATTGCAGCCTCTTTTCATGGACAATTTTTAATAAAAGATGTGTTGACAATTTTAAGGTGTAGAGCTGTGGTAGTAGTCCCAAATTCCACAAGTCTAGGATACAGTTAAGTGGATGCTATACATTAGGTTGGACAAACATTGATAATTCAAACGACAATCAATTCAGTGGAAAAACATGTGCCAAATCCGAAAAATGCGGAAATTCGGAAGGTGTAGTTGTATGGGGGCAAGATCTAAAACTGGGCCTATAAGAACATTGGAGGCTAAATTGCAGCCTAGTTCAACAAGTAAAAAAGTTGTTAAGTTCGGCCGGACCGAAACATTCAAAATTCCTTAAGTCGATTGGAACATTTATATGGGGACTATGGTATGGTGTTATGTGATACTAGGTTGTTCATGCTCCGAAAAAATGGGATCCGATATGTCAAATATATGATACGTCGGTTAAAAATGTATTATTACCGAAAAAAAGCGGAACTTTTATGTGTATCAAAACTATATACACACCACACAAATTTGTATATAAAGGGGGAAACACATTCTAGGATTCAAGTCTGGCCTGACGCCGTTCTCTTTTATTATTTTACAATAAAATAAGCCAACATACATATGAAGCCTGAAGTCCTCTTATGTGTTTTCCCCTTAAGTCAACCTTCCAGAACCCTTTACCCCAAATGGCAGACCCATCGGTTGGAAAATGCGGCTAAAGTCTTCAAAATCCCGAAAGTGGGAAGATATTTTGGGGTGTGACGTTATACTCGTATGTTGGCTTCCCCAAAAGGTGGACCAATTTCGAGAATTTTTAGTATGAAGATTTAACACCCCATGGGAACCTGAAAAATCAAATTAAAACTCCAAAAATACCGAATAATGGGGGCTACCCGGTAACATTGGCCCATGTTGATAATTTGTGTAGGTCCAATAAGAATCCAAAAAATTTAAATTGCTCCGAAATTGAGATCAAAATACCGATCTTAGGTGGACATTTGAACATTTTTAGTAATAATTGCATTTGAACAATCCATAATAAAAAATTACAACCAATTAGATAGAAGGATGTGACCAAAAACCTTCAAAATATCGGTATATGGGGGTTACCCTGAAACATAAGCCAATATTGATAATTTTTCGTAAACAGATTTGATACCCAATGTGAATCCATAATACCAATTTTGAGGTGATTCTGTTTAAAAATGTGTTTAAAACTCCCCAAAATACCGAATAATTGGTGGTAACCATATAAGAGGGCCAATATTGATTATATTCGGTAGAATGGTTTGATACCCAATGAGTATCAAACGTAACAAATTGCAGCCAATTCGGTTCATTATAATAATGAATAATTGGGAGTATCGTTATATGGGAGCTATACCAAAACGTGGACCAATGTGCCTCCTAATTTGCAATACCTTCCATCTTAGGAGTAATAGAAATGAGAGTGCAAAATTTCAAAGCTTTGAATAGACGGACACGCATAAATCGACTTAGAATTTTATTCCGATCCAGAATATATGCACTTTCGACTTAATCAGAATATCAAACCACCGGACATCTGGGACAACCTCTCTTTTACGAACGAGATATATGTCATAGATATCACGGTAATCTCTATTGTCAGAAAATATAATCACAATGGAAGCGGTCTTGACCCTAATATAGAAATATTTCAAAAAAGGAACCTGAAAATTGACATCTCAAAAAGACTTAAGGACTCACAATTCCTCAATAAAATTAAACCGAGTCTATATTTTCAAACATCTCTGAGTCTGTAGCTCAACTGTTTTTTCTTTAAGATCAAACAAAAAATTCCTGAACAAAGATTAAACTAAGTCTCATTCTAAACGATCGAGTTTTTTATGGTTATATGGTTATAAAATTTGAAAATCATTTGTATCCAAACGACTGTCCATAGATCATCTATAGATAGAAAACCAGGTAAAGGCACCTATTTTGCATCACAATTTTTCATTTCATTATCATTCAAATATTATAGACATTTTTATTTAATAACATATTTCAAAATTTTCAATGCTTATCATAATTAACTGTGAAAACTATGTAAAGGTCTTTTATGGTACCTAGTGTGATAATACATAACCATTACATGCATCACCGTTTCTCAACGTGTTGTATTCCCGCACTTCATTATCATTTTAAATATCACAGACATTTTTATATAATTACATATCTTAAATATTTCAATGCTTATCATAATTAACTGGGAAAATCAATTTTATTACAATACAATGAAACTTTTTTGCGAAACTCTATTCACATAATTATGATAAAGAAAGAAATGTTAATTAAATATTTTAAATGTATTTTTCTGCTATTTAATTAATAATATCAATGAAGATTCCCGCAATTATTATACACCATGAACGTTGAAATATAATTCACTTAAAAATCATTCAAATGTCAATTAAAAATGTATTTATTTACTTAATGAAAGCAATGATGAAAACGAAAGACTTAAGCAACAAACTTTCTTTTGCATTGTACCCGACGACTGCACGTGCAGACGTGATGAGCCAAGTGGAAGAAGAAGCAGTTGTACAAAGTGCACACACAAAATGATAAATGATATGATGCTATTACACTTGCAATGTTGTTGTAATTATTGTTGTGCTTGTTTCACGTTTCATTACTTCTTCTTTCCTTTCGTTCCTTTCTTTCCATTGTTCAAAGGGAAAATCAAATTGTATTAATTATTTGGTTTTTAAAGCTCGCCTGCATGTTTGAAGGCTGACAGACAAAGTCAACCAGTTACACCGTCATTTACCTAGCGGTGTGAACAATGTAATAATTTTTAAATGATGGGAACAACAATAAATGAAAGTGAAATTCTATTATTTAATTGTGGTATACGTATTTTCATTTCATACTCCATTTATGTAAAAACATTTTGTTTTCTTTTTCATTGTAAGCTAATGAAGAATACAAAGAAAGCGGAGAAGGGAGTTTGGGGGGTGGGGTGGTCATAATGTTATTACAACTAGCTGTAGGTTGACACCCTGTGTGTACTTTGGGATTGACACATGATTTTGTTTTTTTTTTGGAAAGGGGAGGCGGAGACCATGATACGATTTTGTTGCTGCTGCTGATTACCTTAAAGGTTTTTTTTGTGATTATTTCTAAAGATGGTGTGGTTTGTTTGGCTGGGAAAAAGTGATGACAACATTATTCAATGTAAATGTCTATTTGTAGTTTGTTGTTGGTTTTTTCTTTATGCTTAGCTGTATGTATGTGTGTGTGTGAAAAAAGAGAGCCCGGTGTTATTCATAAACAAAATGCCAGTTTTTGTTGTAGTTGTTGGTTTTTTTATTTAACAAATTTCTAAAAAATGCCACTGACTGTCTGTCGGTCTTTTTTATTGTCATGACTCATTTGCTACGCGTCTTTTTTTCTGCTGCCTTTCTTTCTATCATTTTTTTTTTTTCATTTCGAAGAGAATGTCTTATGAAAGCCATTTAAACGGGATTTTCTTTTTATTTGAGTGTCTATTATGTGTTTCGTTTTGCAAATGTTATAACATTTGAATTGCAGGCAAATGCGTAACATTCTTTTTCTTTGTAATAGAGTGGAAAGAAAGTTGTTTGGGCTTTTTATTAACAAAACTGTAGACCTTCTTTGGTAATTCTTAAATTAATGTGATGTAATAATTATTTTTTTTTATTTTTTCGAGGGATTTTGGTTGTATATAGAACAAGTATACATTTGGTGTTGCATTGGACGAAGAAAAAACTCAATTTACTTAGACTTACATCAGGTTTTGTAGTGCGAATAAATAGATTGGAGTTTTGTTTAGAAAATTCAGACATTTCAGGATAGCTGTACTTTATTTTTTATAATTAAATATATAGGTTTCCCCCAAAGATAAGTTGAAGCTTTCAAACACATTTTTCATCCAATCTCACAATTTACTAAGATTCCGATAATAATATTTAATATTTGATATGAACATATTTGTTATGAAAATTTCCCTATTCGTGGCTACTAATCCAAGGATGTTTGGTACACAAAATGGCAGCAAAATGTATT